AATTAGCATTTCAGGGCAATTTGAACTTTAATTGGAAAATAAATAAATAAATAAAATACCGGTAATGCTATTAAAGTTATTGTTGTCCAAAAAGTTAACTTATTTTTAGTGTTTTATTCTTATAAATAAAGGTGTATCATTTACTTACACGAATCCGTTAACAAGATCCTGACAGATTTGAAAACTCTGACATGGCTGATCAACACATTCGTCGATGTCAATTTCACAGTTGACTCCTTCATAGCCGGCTTGGCAGATACATTCGTATGTATTGGTTGTCCTCTGTGTGCAATATGCACCATTCTGACAGGGGTTACTGGAACACTCGTCGATATCAATTTCACATCTTGAACCAGTTATGCCTAGAATTGAAAACCAAATCTATTAGTAATGAAAGTAAATACCATATTCACTCTATTAGACACATCTCCAAAAGAGGCATACATTTGTAACTTATTTTGACAGTTCTGTCATTCAGTGCATGCACTACTAATACTGTAAAAAGATCCATTATTCACTAGGTTTTAATTTTGCTTATTTCGCTGACTGAAAAATGAGCTAAATTTAAACCCAGTCATTTTACAGTACTGTAAAGTATTTTATTTAGCTGGAATTAATTTTCGCAGAGAGATTTGTTGGGCGTTTTGTATGGAATTTATTTTCACTGATTCTGATGAGTTGGATGTAAAATATAGGAAAATTGGTATATTTGCTGGATTTTATTTTTACCGACCGAATCATTCCTTCAGTGAAAAAAACAATAATTAATTCCAAGCAAAAATATAGTTTTTTACAGTAGAGCAAGTATGGTAGATAAATGAAAGTTAAAAGTAAGACTTCCACTAACGACAGGTGCGAGTTTCTTTTAAAATCAGTGTTCCAGAATGAGAAAAATAAAGACCCCCATGATCTTAGAAACAGATCAAATTATTTTTACTACTGTAAAATCTGTATTAGAAACCGCGGCTTCTATTAAAATGGTACAATGCAATAGAGGGGATGCGGCTTCTATTAGAGCATCTACACATATGAGAAATGATGAATTTTTGGTTCTCAATTTTTCAAAAAGAATGGGTGCGACTTCTATTAGGGATGCGGCTTCTAATACAGATTTTACGGTAGTTTATCAAGGAATCAAGTCAGCACCATGTTCGTATCTATGGTGTCAGTTCAGTAAACTCTGGTCTGAACATCTCTCCATATGACAAAAAGTCTTAGCAGTAATTTAACAAAGTTGACATATATAATGTCAATTATATGACTTATACCGTAAAAATTAACGAGTAAATAACAGAATCGTTGCACAAACAAACAAGTATGTCAGTCTGGTCTAAAGACAATATGTTTGTTGTTTGTTTACTCACCTAATGGACATGTACAAATATATGAATTAATCAGATCATTGCAAGTGGCGCCATTCATACACGGATTTGAACCACATTCATTGGCGTCCAAGTGGCAGGTATCACCATAGTAACCAGGCTGACAGTAACAAGTAAATCCACCTAAAACGTAAGTTGAATTTAATTTTGTTTAATGTTGAATTTAAAATATTCATGTTAGATTATTGTGAGATCTACATCAAAAGATTGAGTCAAACACTACTCATAAAATTACCATTACATGTACTTTCTAATATTACACAAAACATATCACATGTTAATGATTCAGTATACAAAAAAATACAATTTTTTGGTTTATACATGTTTCTATTGGAGATGCACTTCTAATAGAGCAATTATGGTAATTTCCATTGTAGTTTAGTTCCATTTCATAATTTGGTTGAAATAAAAATTTGTCAGTTTTAAATTACACCACCAACAACAACATCAACCTTAAAGATAGAATCTGGGGCTAGAAAAATGTAAACAAATCCTTGAAGATAATTGTTCCTCATTTTTGAGACCTCAGGTTTGTTTTCTGTGAAAATTTACCTGTTGGATTTTCCACGCACACTGCGTTATAACCGCACGGATTAAACGGACAGCGTCTGATGACAGCTTCGCAATTGGGACCAATAAAACCGTCCTGACATTGACATGTATATCCATTCTCTTCATCAATGCATGTGCCGCCAAAATAACATGGGTTACTGAGACACTCGTCAACGTCAAGTTCGCAGTTTGTCCCCTCAAAACCTATCAAATAAAGTCAGAATTATACAGATTGTTATGTTAAATTGGATTACTTGTAGCAGCTTTCAATCCCACAATGCATTCAAACAGCCTTGATGACCAATTAAAATTAGTTGATGCTGGAATCAAAGCAACATGGTGAATTTATGCAAATTTTGACAATGAAGACACATACAATCAAAATTAAACTCGGCAAAGCCTCCATGTGAATACATAATACATGAAATTAAAATGTTTTATAAAGACATATCTAGAACATAGGTGAACTCTGGTGACCTTGCCCTTTGTTATATACCGTAATATTATTCCCTTTATCATAGTTTGATTCAATATAAATATGCATTGTCATACTGTGCAAGACTTTATATTTGCTGGAATAAATTTTCGCTGAAATGGCTTTTTGGGTGTTTTGTATGCAATTTATTTTCACTGTTTTTTGATGAGTTTAATGTGAAATATAGAGAAAAAAGTATATATTTGCTGGATTTTATTTTCACGGAATCATCCCTTCAGCGAAAATAGCAAAAAAAAATTCCAAGCGAAAATAAAGTATTCTACAGTAATTAATTTTGAATACAAACAAGTTTTGGGGTTGAAACAACAGTGGGGAATCAGTCTCCCGAATGTCCTTGATAGATGTAAATATCTCATAAAAACATTGGTGCCTAATTTGTTTAATTATTATTATTCAAAGTAATTCAGATATTTTAGTATAAAAATAAATGCCTCATCGCAGAAAAAAAAGTGCTGTATTTAGACGTGAATAGATTCATAAAACATGCAAGATAACAGAAAATCTTAGCTGACTT